TATTTTAAATATCTACAGAGGGTTCTTTTAAAAAGATTTTCATTTTTAGCCCAAGTGTGCACATAGACGTCACTTGGAACAGCATTAAGACATACATAAGGAAAGAAATGAATATAGATATTGAGAAGGAAAAAACCTACTTTGAAGAATACAATCCCGAAGCCTTAAACCAGATCATTAGCATCCAACACAAAGTGATCGACTACCAATAAAAGGACAAGCAAAAGAGCTTACATTCTATCTTGATCGTTATTGACGATTCTGCGGATGACCCTAAATTCGTTCGCTACTCTAGTATTTTACACAGTCTTTTTACAAGGGGTAGGCATAATGCTATTTCGGTTCTCCTATCTCCCCAGAATTAGAAAGACCCCTACAACACGCACCGACGGAGAGATTACAAGAACAAGAATTAATATCAAAATAAAAATATATACGCGTATAATGAAGATCTTAGAATTGTTCAGCGGCACTAGTTCTATTCGTAAAAAAGCAAAATCAAAAGGTTATGAAGTTATATCTCTCGATCTGAAAAATAGCGATATTAAGATAGATATCTTAAAATAAGAGATTATAAAATCTATAAGCCTAAAGAATTTATTTTTATATAGAATTCGCCACCCTACACCGAATATAATAGAACCAAAACGGTAGGCGTTAAAAATCTTAATTATATTAATAGCATCAAATTAAAAACTATTGAAATTTTAAATTATTTGCAGCCAAAATATTATATAATACAAAATCCATAAATAAGCTTACAAAAAACAAGTCTTTATAACAGAATTAATTATACAGATATTAATTATTCTAAATACGGTTTTAAATTATAGAAAATGAACTCGGTTATAGAATAATTTTAATGACATACTAAAACTAAAACCGCTATTTTGTAAAGTTTGTAGTAAAATGATAAATAATAAATATATTAAAATTGTTCCACGCGGATATAGAAATAAAACTCATTCCCAAGAAAAATTCTATACAACACCATCAATACTAATTAAAGACATCTTTAAAAGTATTAAAGCATAATTAATTATTGCAAAATAATATTATTAAGTTAATGAATAACTTTTCAAATTGAAAGCCGATTATTTGTAAGTTATTTTATCACTCTTCCTATCCTTTACTTCCTTCAATTCCTTAATCATCCCTTTTAATACTTTGATCTATAATCTATCAATATTGCTTGAATCCAAATCATCTTTATCAACTTTATTTATTTGATTTATACAATCATTCTAATTATCACTTTTTGAAATCTTACCTCCCATACATATAGATATATATATATATTTTTTTTTTTGTATTGGGTTATATTATTCCTAATTCAGTTAATATTTCGTCAGTTTTTGTTTCTATTCTTGTTATTTCACGCCAATATTGTATGATTGGGAGATCTATTCTCTATCTTATCGGAATCGTCTATTTAGGACCTCTTTTAAAAAAATCATTGGAATCCACCATAATCCTTGTTCCGACAATGGCAGTCAGAGTGCACTCGCACCTCCGCTTGTCTGTTGAAGGGTGAGTCGCGCATCTTGAGTGTCGAAATCTCTCTGGCTGGTCTTCCAAGAGAGTGTCATTGTTCACCCGTCGTAAGTTGTGCTGCTACCAACGTCTTTTACACCCTTTACAAGGACTAAGGCTAAAGTTAGGTGGAACAGGGTTCAGCAATGACAGACTCCAGCTAGACTGCCATATTTTCAGTCTCACTCAAAGTTGCTGCAAATTCCACCATTCGAGATCCAAGCTCCCTTTCCAATCAGTCAGCCCCAAAGGCATTGCCAGCGTGGTGCTCGCAGCCACTTCGAGACAAGCTTTTCGCGACGGCTCCCGGAAACACAGCATAGGGCATAGAGCAGTTTCAATTCATGGCACAAGGCTGAAGCTCTACATGCTTATGCTCGGACTATGCGTGACACGTGGAGCTTTCCTGACGGCGTGCAGCTTTTGTAAACCGCTGGCGCACCACTTCAAGACTTACCAGAGATTGCATCTTGCTCTTGAGCATCTTCAACCTGCCACTTATGCCCTAAAACCGACAGCGGAGCAGACGTCCAATTGAGAGAGCGGACTCGGGACGCGCGCCGAAGCACTTTCAAGAAGGGCCCATGTCCTGCGACTGGCACAAGGCGAAGGCTGTTTACCACAGAAAGCGTAGTTTCGGGGCTCTGTATCGAGACCGTCGGCCCATGCTTCACTGAAACTAGGAAGGCTTCCAACGTCGGCAGCTGGATTTCGAGTTGCACACACTGGACACAGAGGAGTTCAGACCGCTCGCATTCGGAATATCGTTGTTGTTATAGTCTGAGATGTGTCTTCTTCTCTTAGGATGCAGTATGCTGTGCCACACCCATCTGGGTCTATGATGTCATCGCCAAGCAAACCGTAAATGCGAACGCCCGCAGGAGCACTTTAACCCACCTGAAATACCCACACATCAGCCTCAACGCGAAATGTCACATGCTCCAAAGATCACGGAAGACCAAACTTTCAACTTTCGACCCAAGCTGCGTGCCTGTTATTGCGACCCATTGCCAAAGAAGAAGGAAGTCGATGCCGCAACGGCCTCGCTCAGAAAGCCAAGTCATGCAGGGAATGCACTAGTCATGGCGCACAGCTACACCCTTTGCCTCTCCCTCTGCAATGAATGGAAGGGATAATACACAGAACTCGAGCTGTCGGAGTCTTTATTCTCATCATTTCATTAGCATCGTGTGCTGGGGGCTAGATGTGTTGAGCCATGCATTGAGAAAGCACTTTCTCCTGTATTTCTCCTGTGGCACTGACCAGGGCTTGCCAAATCGTACAGTCGTAGTACAGTCCAATTCGGTGCGTTGCACGATGCAAGATGCCCCATCACCATCACAACAGGTGTGATGCGACGTGCTGCCATCGTCACTGTAGCGCCTACATGTGAAGACCACAGAACCATTCAGGCCAGGCATTCCCAGAAGCGAGTCTGGCACTTTGCATGCTGAGTGTACAACTGACGCGAACAGCGGGTTTGGGCAGTAGTACTCGCCGAAGTCATCTGCCTCGGCGCTTTCCCTTCGAAGCTGATCCGGCTTTTTGCAGCCCTAACGATGCGTTTTTGCATTGACTGCTGAAATCCGTTTCTGGCACCGAAGCAGGCGGATGCGTCGAATCACTGCAAGTGACCATGCTCAGAGCATTAAATGTTCTTCAGCTAAAGTTCTACGGATCTACAAGCCACAGTCTGGAAATCCCCCGTCAAAAAGACCTTCCTGCGAGCCACGACTATGCAGAGACATGTGCGCGCACTTGCTGGGACAAACACCGGTTTCCGTGCGAATCCGTTGTGACCTGGGACCGGCTGCGTCCGAAACCAGCTGAAGCTGTGTCATTTGTGATTTGTTTCTCGTTATCATTCTTATTACCACTATCTTCTATCTGTATTGATTTATGCAATCACTTGCTATTCATGTGTATATATATATATATGTGATATATATATATATACACACGGATATATGGCCGACCATTGCCGGAGCATACATCGATGATGTCTGTAACTGCGCATGCCCTGTGAACATACTTCCTCAATCCCAAGCCCGAGCCTAGCGGTCTTATGCCTGCAAGCCGCATTGCTGCCTTCGATCCTTGCCTCAAACGAAGAGGGTCAACGTTACTGCGCAGCAGATCTTCCCTTGACTCACCTGAACCCCTCGACCAACTCAGCATCGGAACACCAACTAGAGTTTCGGGTGGAGTTCTGCAACCTGCGCATGCTTCACCGCAGGAACCGTGCTTCGACCTCTCTCAAGAACAGACATTTACATCCGGACCAGCTGCCACACAAAGACAACTCCCCTTTCAAAAGGGACATCCAGAATCCACGGCCCGATGCCTTAACCCTACAAGCTATCGGGTTCAGGGCTAGCCAATTCGCACACCACTATGAAGCCATAACCTCCTCAGCCACAGTACGGTGTTTCAGCTCGGTGAGGGCAGACTTCTGTAGGCCACGATCCCAACCTGAAGGTTCTCACGGATTTCAGGGTCGAGCTCGTGGTAGGCTATGGCGGTTATGCACCAAAGGCAGGAAAGCCCGGACTCCGAGCAAGTTGGCTGTGAACGACCGGGGCTTTCGGGCCGTGGGAAACTTACCCTAATTTACCCTAGGTATGTGCTGAGCGCAGGCCTCTGGGCAAGAAGCATCCTGGACCGTCATGGATACAGTCGGGTAAATCTAGGACAGACTCCGGGTAACCAAGCCGCCCTCACGCGTGAAACTCTGCAGCCGATAGTCCACGAGACACAAAGCTCCAAGCCCAATAGTTATGAGCAAAGCCGAACCCCTTCTGCTGTGCAATTCAATTGAGCAGCCGGTGTGGAATCCGACACCATCGCTGTTCCCTCGGGCACAAGCGAAACTGCCAGGGGTCTTCACTAAAACAGTAGAGGTAAGGTCCAGACTATCTCGCTCACCAGTTCATCTTCTTAGAACTTCTACATCATCGTGAGCTCGGAAGCTTTTGGACGATGGTCGCCATGTTGCTTGTTGATGAAAGACCCCAGTATCTATCATTCTATTACTTGGGAAAAGCTGACTGAAGCTTCCTTAGATACAGCCAAAGCACAGCCTCGCGTTCTCATCAACAAGCTGTCGCTCTGTCCTGTGCCAAATGACGATTGCCTAAACTTAAAGTGAGATCTGAGTCTCTGAAGGCTAACGGGGGAGGGCGGGGACCTCCTTCCCCTTCAAGAGGGATGGTTGCTTAGAGGTTGAGTGGGGTTTAGGGTTTAGGGGTTTAGGGTTTAAGGTCAGGGCCTTCTGTTCTTCCAGGCTGTTGGAGCCCTGAAACGCTCCCCCTAATTCAGAATATATAGGTGTTAAAGGGCAGGAATATATAGGTGTTAAAGGGCAGGGATGATTTCAGGAGGATCTGCCCCAATGTGTTTGATTTTTGATTAAATCATTAGGGGGTGTTTAAGAAAGGGTGAAGGGATTAATCAAGTCCCGTCTAGGGCTACTGGGGGTTAGGGTTGCCGGGTTGGCCCGAAAGCCTAAAGCATAGGATTGGAGACTGAGATGTCTCTCCACCTTCGCCTCGCGGCGGTGCCATGGAAAGATCCCATTGCAGCTGCCTGTGGCTCACCAACAACGCCGAGCTCCGAAGAACATGCCAGTCAGCAAGTCCTAGGCCCAGATGCCTGAGGTGTAGATGCGCAGGATTGAAGAAGGAGTGAGTTGTTCGGAGCCTCAGAAGGCTGCCAGGTGACACTATCAGCAAATTGCTCCTGAGCAAGCACAGCATTTGGGCCTTTAGGTGTGGGTCGACGAAGACGTGCAGTGTCTCTTTCGTGCTTTTTGATAGTGATTTGTTCCGCGGGACTTGGGAAGTTCGTGGCATTTTCCCACAAGTCCTCCCGAACCCGAGCTGACTTCATGACTTCTAGAGTCTAGAGACTCCATGGCGAATGACGTAGCTTTCACCCAAGCCCGGAACCCCTCAACCCTATGGGTGTAGCCTGGAGCAGGATGTGCTTTTGCCCGCAGTGTGGTACTAATCATGAAATACGCTCGTTGCGGGCGTGACGCTAATAAATGGCACTAAGGGTCAGTCTAGGCTTCCTGCATCCGCGGATCTTGTGCTGTTCTGTGGCCCGGACTTGACATACAAGAAGTGGATGCTGTTGGGAATGATCATGATTGCATACATGATCCACCTCAGCTCGTGGGAGAAACTCCGACGAAGCAGCTGATGCGGCTGTGCATGCTGTGCTACTGGTCGGCAGTCTTCTTTGCAACGTTCTGACATGTCATGTCTGCGGCTGATGCCTGCCGTCTCTGGGTCTGATGTACTGCTTCTGCAAATGAGACCGCCGCTGGTTGGACCAAACCACCAGCTGCACCAGAACCACATTCAGCATGAGCAGGGCAACCAACATAAAAGCCTGCACAGACCATCGCAGTCGCGAGCAAGTATTTCCAACCCTCCCCCATTGTGAATCATGCTCCACAGCCTAATGGCCACACAATCCCAAATCGCCGGCGAACAAGTCATGCCTTTGCACGCTGCGAGTCACCGAGGATGTAGGCAATGGGCCAAATCAAGGACTGCCTGGGCAGCAGCTTGCATGTGGTGTGTTTAAGGGTGTTGATTTCGACCTATATCATGCCACGCAGGTGCAATGTTCAAAATACAACTGCGCGCTTATGTCATATTGCGTGTATGGTGTGGAGGGCTGCCTCTTTAAACCAGATGCAGATGACAACTATTGCAAGCTCGAGTAGCACTACCACACGGGTGCGCGCCACTGGAACATCGGACACTGCCAAGGTGCCACGACTTTTGCCCATCACGCTGACAGACTACAGAAACAGTCCAAGCTTGACATTGGCCATCTGGACTGCATGCCACTTCTAAGAATTTCTTGGGCTCAAGACTGCAACTCTCCAATACCGAGGCAGTATAACCGACATGTTATGCTTCCACTGTGTTTAGCACTATGATTGTGGTTGTTTCTTGTCTCCTTACTCTGGTCGTTGTTCTGTTGCTCGTTGTCAATACTGCATGATGACAATAGTACGAGTAGTAGTGCATACTTTCATTGTTTTACTCCATCATTATAGTACTAATGAATGTTATATGTACAACTATTATGATGATTATGACTCATATTATGATTATTCTCATTCTTATGACTGAATTACTATGTTGCCTTCATTGTTTCCTTGCACAGCTGGTGTTGAGGCCAGGGCGGGCTCGTGGGCATGACGGTATTCAGCGCAGCCTTGTGAAGTTCAAAAGCCCAGCTGAGCAGGTCACTCCCAAACCTCTGCTCTTTTAAGCAGCAGGCACTGCCAGTTCGATGCTCATTACCAGCTTTAATTTGGGTGATGTATATTCTTGCAAAGCGCAGCTTGGCTCTGGGATTCTCGGGTACTCTCTCGATCAGCTTCGCGAGCAGAAGATTCATCGGCTAAGTTGCAGGCCAGAGCTTCGTAGTACCGCCCCTTGCACAAGACGACAGCACCTTTCCGTGCCCGGCTTGGGCGTGAGTTGGGTCCAAACCCGCTTGACTCTAGCCATGAAGCTCCACAGTCAAACGTGCGGCAGACAAAAAACGATCTGCCCGTGGCCTCGGGGGTATGGACAGCTGTGGCTCGACCACTCCTGTGGTTTCGCGTGCTTTGGAGCCTCGGAAGCGCAACTGGTGGCCGTGAGGCTCCGGATCTAGGAAAGTGGGCGGACCTGGTTCAAAGGACAGGAATAAAGAGGAGATCAACCCTTCGTCTCAGTCCTACAGGTAGCCACAAGTCTCCGGGTTTCAAGAATTGCACTGGAACGGACATTCCAAGCTTCGATTCTTAGTAGTTGATGCTTATTTGCAGCACCTTCAAGGATTCAGGCAAGGCAAGGCGAGGCAAGGCCAGAGGGAGAAATGGCTCACCTGTAGAAAAGAGCTAAAGGCTGGGCGCCGAGCCAGTTCCGACATCCTTCGCCACTCGCCGAGCATTCGAGTCCTTGGTGCCCACAGGCGCCCAAGGTTCATCTTAGAACATCCTGCTTCGAACGGGACGGATCAGTGCTGAGCGGTCGGCTGTTGAAGCGCCTCGGACCCCAAGCAGTGCAGCTCCTCCAGGTCCGGTAATCGGGCGTGCGGTCGAGACGTCGAGGCAACGGGGGCCTACAGCACCTCACAAGGATTCGAAAAATCCGTAATGCAGTCTCCCATGCAGCCTGCAACACCCTCCAACATTCACCTCTCCACCCGCCGCAGCAGATCTGGAGGATGGCCTGTCCCTCCAGCGCCCGCTCTCCGGCCAGCAGAGCAAGACAGCCAAATCGCTACAGGTAAATCAAGCAAGATCTTGAACTCCGGACCGTTCTCTGCCACACCCCTGCACATTGCCCACCCCGAACTTTCAAGCTTCTCGGCGGTCCAGACACAAGAAGCTGAGGAAGATGTGCACCGTGACGAGGAACGTCAAGAACTTAGCTGACTTAGCTGCTTTTTCAGGATCTCTCGGCCTTGCATTCCTTTCTCATTCAGAGCGGTGGTTCTTTCGGGTGCACACAGCACAAATGGCGCCTCCGCTCCATGTACATCCAGGCAAGCACGTGTGATAACAAGTACATCTGGGCATATTTCACGGTTCGGTGCTTGCGGGCGTCCTGGCACAATTGTCTACCTGGACACTATCTCAGTCTTGGCCGGCGCGGCGACGTTAAAATCCCTCGGACTATTTCTAGTGCTTGCGATGTGATAAGGAAACCATGATCAACCAACCTCCTCTGTGAGAGAGAGAGAGAGCGAGAGACAGAGGAGATCCTGGTGTTCTGGAACGCTGGCGAGGTCTGCGGAGCTCTGTCCATTTGCGCTGGTGCCCTTCCCCCGTCCCCTCCAAGCCCGTGGCAGCACATCGGGAGGTATCGTAGTAGATGTAGTCGTACCGCACAAACCTGTTCAGAGCAGTGCTTGCGTAGTGGGAACCCAAAACCGCCGGTTGCTGCTTGTCCTGGATCAGCCAATACTTCACGCAAGAACTGAGGCATCAGAAAAAAACCTTTTGTATTAATTACCTGCCGAACGAAAAAGCACCGGCCATCTGAACAACAGAGCTGTGTCAACTCGCAGGGCTCGCAACCACAACTCATCAACTACTTACTGGGCTGGCAAGCCAGGTTTCAATCCCAGAAACGTGAGAAACCACTTCTGCAGACTGTCGCTTGGCAACGCAATACGAACAAATCCATCAATTGTCGAGCCTCAGAGGTAACACACCAATGCAGTAGGCAGCTTCAAGGCTGTGGTACCCGCACCGTCTGAGCCTTGGCAAGGTGGAGTGGAAAAGAAGCAGCAACTCGGAATATTGTCTGATTGAAGCTGATGCTAACCGGTACAGACGTCCAGTACGAGTAGAACTGACCTATGCTACTGCGGGAGCTTGGAAGTGTGCACTCGACCTGCATGCCAAGAACTTGATCGGAATCAATGGTGATGTGAGGGGAAGAGCCCAGGCACGATCTGCATTCTGTTCTGTTCTACTCCATTGAATGCTGCTAGATTATTGAATTAGATTAGACTAGAAATAGAATAGATGAGATTACACCATATTCCATCATCTTATGTTATGCTGTACTATACTTTGGTACAGCATAGTAAACTATACTATAGTATACCTTTGTATACTAACCCGGATTCCTAGATTCCATGGTGATCAGAACCGGTAATCCTCCTCTTCTTGCACCGAGGTGCATGTTGAAGATCTCGGCAGTGAAAACGTTGGTCTGTGATTTCCTCAGCGCTTCAATGAAATAAAGCGAACTGTATAATTACAGGCAAATTACAGGGGGTTGACAGGGTGTCTACAGGGTGAGGAGACTATTGTGAGTCTCTAGATCGCCTCTGCAAGGAGGCGGGTGGGCAATGCAACTCACGAAGGCAAGGGTGGCCAGAGGCAACCTTAAAGGTCTCAAGAAGCCTTTACTTTCCAGGTAGAGTTGCTCAGGCCACGACAAGTAGCCGTGATAAAAGAGCACACTCAGCAGCAAGGGTAGCCTCAAGCAGAATATGATGCAGCTTGTGTCCGGCGCGTGGAAGGAGCTGTGTTCGGACTTCCTGTAGTGCATGCGTAAAGCTTGACTATCGATGGTAGCAACAGCTCCTGTGCAGTCTTCCAGGTATGGGGTTGGCTACATGGACATCAAACCTGATATTTACAGCCCATTTAATTTACGACTGTCTGAACGTGCCAGCAGTCGGGCTCTGCAAAAGGATTGCTAGGTAGGCTCGTCTGCAGAAGCGGATGAGTGATGCTTGCGATTTGTCAGCAGTAGACGCATGGGTCACACGAACTCACTGTTTGGCAGATTCGGGTCGAGAGGAGCCATCTGCCAAGATAGCTTGGCTCAGCGGGCCCCAGTGCTTGTCCGCATAAACAGAACCGGACCAGCACACAAGCCAGGCTTGTCCGGACAGGCGATCAAAGGCATCCCAGTCTGAGGGATGCACGCCAAGTAGATCCCTGCAAGTGAGTCCTGCGCTTGCAGCGATGACAAAGCTCATGGAGTCTACGTATCGCGCTGAGGTTGCGAGGCGGGATCTCCAGTCGAGCCTGTTGGCAAACATCATGCTTCCAAACTCACGATGCTCGCGGCATTCGGTGGCTCTCATGCACGCTTTCTGCAGGAGCAGCTGAACTCCTGCATGGCGAGCGTAAGACCGCAGTACAGGGAATCCACAGTGACGAAGAAAAGGGTGAGATGACACCTCGGCAAAAACAGCACAATGATCCTCACACTGGTGTAAATCCTCATGCACGACATGCACCTCTACTCCTCGATGCCCCAGGACTCCCCATCAATCCACACGCGGTAGCTTCAACGCGTCTTAAAGCATTGGCTCATGCTTCAACCTAGCTAGCTGCAGTCTTGTGAGGAACACTCGTGAGCTTTGCATAGAAAGCCCTGAGGTCAGCGCGCAAAGCGAACCCCATGAGCATCCGAGAACTGCGTCATCCGCCAGAGGAAAAACCTTGGCCGACTTAGATTGGGAGATCGAAGTAGCAAATAGAAAGGGCACTGACTATGAGCCCATCTGCAGACCTGACCTCGACTCTTTATCCTATACGCACATGCCGCGTAGAATCAAACGGCGACTTCTGAACTGTTGATTCGGCAGTCCAGAACTTGTGAAGGGTAACATGCTTCAAGTGCAAGTGGTAGCATGCACTTTTCAATTCATCAGTCGTGGTTTTCTAAATTGCCTCCGGCGTTCAAAAGCACCAAGCGTCACTGAGGCGGCCACCAGATGCGTTGAGCGAAGAAGAATGTCGTAAGAAATATCAAATGGAAATTGCTGCCTGGGCGCCGAGCTGCAAGAATGCGAACGTCATAGGCCCATAGGCACAGCTTGATGCAGGTTCAATCACCATTTGGGGGTAGGCAAAGGCATGATTCGTAAACGAGCTTTGGGAGACTTGCAGATAGAGCTTTACCGGAGAATCATCGTAACATCATGTGGAGCCCTGAGTCTCCAGGGTGTGCATGTTTCCATACGGAAGCCAGCATACTCCAGCGAGTACCAGGCAGGCTTGTGTCAAGCCGAAAGGCTGGACGGATGGCATCTAGTCTTGAACAGTGGGGATGCCGCTGCAGTCCAGCTGCTCTGGATGCTGAGTCGCGTGATGTTGTAGTTCTGCAGCAAGAGGTACAAGACCTGCTATCATCAACATCTTGACCCTCTGATGGTGCGCAAGGCTCTCGGCCATGAAACCCCGCCCTAAGCCCAAAACGCTGCATTGCGCATCACAAGAGACCGAAGGATCATGAAGGTTCCATGTCCTGTTCACGGGAAGCCTTGAGCAAATGAGACCCTCGAATCCCTCAAGCCTGAACATACGCAAATCACGCCGACACTGAATTCAGAAGACTTCTGCCTTTGAACCTTGGACTGCTCTGGGAAGCAGCTCCGAGCATCCCTGAGTCCATTCCCGGGCCTGCGTGCCCCAGTGTGTGATCTCTCCCACCCAGTCATGGCTCTCCGTTTGCTGCAAGTGCCGCAGGATCGAGTCCTGGGCCCAGGAAGCTTCGGGGACTCTTGTACGTTCACAGCATGTCGGAGCTGTCCGGGTCTCCCACAACCTTGTGGATGCCAGCCGGAGACTCGTAGTAATGCTGCGGCCTGCGGCTGGTTTCGGGTTTGTCTAGGGAGTAACGAAGTGCATGGACTCTCACGAAATAAAAGGGAGGAAGTGGGTGTAGTCACCAGCACATTTGGCCGATTGCAGGGCCATGTTCTGAACAGCTGCCCGACCCTAGCAAGAGTAAAGGGGCAATGAGGTCACAGCAGGTCAAGCGCAGCACGCGGCCTCGTAAGCCCGAACTGCGCTTCCGGGATTTCATAAGTGTGACTTTGAGGTGGCCTGTAGAGCGGGGGCCCCTGGCCAGACTTCGGCTCGGCGGCAGACCTCTGCGCTTTAAGTCAGCAGGCTGCGGCCCGGGGGGCAAGGGCTTCCTTTTTGGCTTCAGCTTTCACTGCGGCCCCCCCACAGTAAGGCAGAACCAGTGGTATATGCCGTGGCAGAACAAAAAGATGCCAGGCTACCCACCGCCTGGAACCCGGATCCCGTTGGCCCTGCCTTTTGACCTCTGGCTTCATGGACATCGCAAGGCAAGCGAACGGCGGATGGGCACACGTAGATTTATCCCGAAGATAACCTTGAGCAAACAATCTGAACCCAAGATGTGTCGTGCATTTTGATGCATGGGCACGGCCCGGCAGACCCACCCCATCCATTGCCTACCCAACTAGATACACGTACTTCAAGTCTGTACGATACCTTGCGTGCCAGCCGACAATGGGAGCCTCTGTAACCTTCATGACTCAATGAGCTGAAGCCAGAGATTTCAGATTGATCGCCACTCGGTTCTCGTAAGGCACACCCTGCTCAGCCATGCAAACCCGCAGTCCGCTCTCCTAGGTGAGCCCTCGACGAACAGCTCAACGGATCAAAACGGCAAGAAAGCGGAGGACTGGCAGACTTTTCGCACAACAGGTACTGGCGGCGATCTTACTCGGAACAGATGGAGTTTAGGTGTTTCTTCTTCCGCTGAATGCACTGATTACCACGACCCTCTCAAAAGCCCATGACATGCAGCCTAGAGACTTGTGCAAAGCCGGATTGCTGGCTTTAAATACTTGAAGCTCAGGGCGCTTTTCAGCAGGCCTCTTTGTGCCACAGTGCTGGGGCCCTATAGCAGGCCAGCGGCCTGAGGCTGACCTGCTGCTCATCAGGACAATGCTCGTGATATCGACCTTCAGATTCAGCTAAAGTACTCCTTGCTATTATCGGGGTTGCTGTAAGGGTTAGTATAGAGGCTCTCTGAACTTATGAGCGGATGGTGCTAGCCCTGCTAGAATCGAACTGAACCTGCTATCGCCTTTCCTCGTTTCGGGACCAAAGGTTGGGGCGAATTGACAGAAACCTTGTCGTGCTGTACTGTGACTTCTTCGTCTCAGCATATCAGACTAGTGACCAGTGGCATGACAAGGCCACAAGGATGTGAGCTGCAGGTTAAACCTGCGGCATGCAGGACAATGATGCTGCGCTGTCTCGGCATGGATACGACATCTGCCGAAGCTGTTGGCATCATCATAGTCACTGCGCAGCTGGCTACTGTGATTGCATCTGACATCTTAGGAGCCGTTCGCTCATCCAAGATGCACATTCCACGTGCGACGGCAATGCCTGGACACTTGAGCCCCGATTAGCATAAGATCTGCAAGATAAACCAGAAGTCACGGTAATGTCTGACACTTTCACAATAGGGGCTTTGGTGATTGAAAGTGAGACAGACTGTGTGCTGTTTGAAAAGAACCGCTGCCGTGCTCCAAAATGTTGTGCTAAGCTGCATTCATTTGGAGCCCGCAGGCTGATTTACGGGAGAAAGCAGGCAACCCCGAATTCTGCACACGCCAAGTGGTACATCTGAACATGCTGAGTGCGATCTCCCAATACCCAAATGACCAAACCGGGCAAGCTCATTCGTTCGAGCTCGGGTCTATAAGTTCGACCTGCATCAACGGAGCTTCTTGGGCAACCCAAGATTCTCACAAGGCCCATACGAGTAGCCTTTGAGCTTGCAGGCATGGGCAGCAGTGTCAGGACGTGGCTCCTCATCTAGATTGCTTAAATGCAAAGCTGCGTTTGAACCTCGAGTGGCCAAAGGTCGACGGTGTTTTGGCCATACCCGCAAGATGCTAACCTCGGCAAAGCACTGTGAAAGGCTCGGGGATCGCACGCGACGCAGAGAGAGAAGGACAGAAAGAGTAGGCGAAGGAGGGCGAAGAAGCAGCATCAAAGCCTCCGAAGCTGCTGTGGGAAGTGCTTCGCTTGCACGGTGCTTCTCGACGGCTCTTGCTGGCAGCACATTTTACCAAGATGATCGGACTACTTCACCCCTCAGGCCTCAAGCCTCAGTCCAATATCTTGTGTCCCGACGTCAGTCCAGGTCATAAGATAAAAACTCTAGGATCAGTACACAGTTATGCACCAGGCAATAGATTCATGATGCAAAAGCATTCTGGGACGGTTAATCTCAGGATTGTTACCGAAAATGATGCAGCCCTGAAGTTAACATCGCCTCGAACTACGGAGCTACCATCATTTATCATGCACCTACCGTCATCTGCTGTCCAGTTATCGGAGGCACGAGTACCAAGGCCCTGCAATCCCACAGTATTCAGCTGCTACAACATGAAGTTCCAACCCTGATGCCAGCTGCGGACCACTTGGAGTTGGCACTAAACGCCAGACTGCACAGCCTCAGCCGGGCGCATGCTACACGTGGGGGTACAGCAAAGAGGGAATCCATTTTCCGTTCTGCTTGAAGCACAGGCACGAAAACCTGCATAGTCCATGGACCACGCGATGAAAGAACAGTCTACATTCTGCGCAGCATCCTCGGGTGGATCCAACACAAAATTTCAAAAGGCTGGGTCTCGCGCCAGTCATCTGCCTGCGTGCTACTGGGTTTTCTGAAGCTTGTCAACAGGTGGGGGGCACTGCTCTTGACAGACTTCATTTGGCCGTCCGCTTCGGATCGTTGCTTCACTATCGTTGTCATCATGTCGAATCGAATGCTCAGGATGCTTGCCTGCCCGTGTGCGTGGTACTCCGTTTCACTGTTGGGGGAGATTGAGGTCGAGGCTGCAATGCAAAGAGGTTAGTGCTTCGGAGCAGCTTGGGCTATTCCAAGTGCCAGCGCGGCCTAGTCACCTGAAGCCTCAACCTCGGCAGCTAATGAGACTGGTTTAACCTCACATCCATGCCTTAGGCAGCTGGAGAATGACTCGCTTGTACAGCACCTCGCTCTGGCTCAAGGCATGCTGGCGGTAGCATGAAGTTGGGGCTCATGTGAAGCAGGACGAGTCTGCAGGTCAACAGTATGTCAAAGCGGTGGTGGTGATTGAATATTGAGACAGCTTTAACAGATTACGCGTTATTCTGGGGCTGCTGTCGAGACAATAGCACGTCTCAAACCATGCTAACTCACAGTCTCGAATCTTTCCTCAGTGTTCAGTGGTCACGTTATTCCGGCTCCATGTCGTCTCGGTGGTCTCGATTGCCTTGAGCAGCTAGTCTCAGGAGCTCGACTCAGAAGGGTCGAGAAGGCAGGGCATAGACCCGCATATCAGAGTGGCTCAACAGCACTTAGGGCCCAGGCATCCCAAACTGACACACGCATATCCTGCCGAAGGCGGGGGCTGAACATGTGCAGTAAGTTGAGTTCGCTCCCACGTGCTCATCCCGATCGGTCAGAGGAAGGGGGGAGCCTGCTTCCTGACAGCGCGCTACTGCGCTCTCGCTCGTCTTGAGTTGGCTTCTCATGTTCAATCACCAACCTTATGTTGGCTGCGGCACACCGCATGAATGATTCCCGGAATCTGTAAATGAAGCTGTTCCAATGCTGGAATCTGAAATAATAATGATCACTGCACATGTATGCCCGCTGGTCCCCTGCAAAGCTTCTAATGCTGTCCGGATATTCGGGCCGGTCACCGCAACTACGATTAAACCACAGAGCAAAAGTCTGTGCCATCTGTACCTTCTGTGGGTGTGCCTGCTCTGGCGTGGGCTATTGCTGAAGGACTCAGTGCAGCGCTTGTCTGGTTGACCGTCTAGGAAATTCCAGCTGTATCCCCTTTCTTATTAGTTTTATCTCTCCCGCTCTGTGAGGAACAAAAAAGGGTCCTGTCGCAGACCCCACCTCTCAAGGGGCGGCCCTACCAAGCTCAGAGGCCTGACCGCTGACATTCCCCGGATCTTGACAATTCCGAGCTGCAGGGGAGAACAACTGCAACTCAAGTCGGCTCTTCGACCGCAGTACACTTCAAAGTCGGGATAGTTTATTCAGTTTGTGCCTTTCTCCCTCTGTCTCTCGCTGCTCTTCTGCTCTTCATCGTCTTCTGCCCCTCCTCTGGTCCGTTCACACTCCGTTGCGTTCACCTGTCTCTCCCCAACCCCTGATACCACTGACTCTTGCTTATGCTGCAGACTATACGACTATCACTCCTCCCCGGCCGAAGCTAGGAGCCGCGAGTTTGTCGTCCAGGCGAGACATCGAATGCCGGCGCCACAGGGGAGCTGCTCCACCTTCCAGGGACTTCATGCGAATACTAGACAGATAGACATGGCTCGTGTCAAAACAATGGACATGTGATTAACGGAGAATATCGGCAAGATCGTTGCTATGATTACAACCACAATAGCAGCAGCAATGGTGGTAATCCTACACATATACAACAATGGCGACTGCCCATGAGGAATCCCCTAAGCTTTCATACAACAGTCCCGGTCATAACCACAGGTAATGGATACAACCACAGATGCGAAGCGAATCTTCGTGACGACGTTACTCGCGTAAGCAAACCGGAAGCACACAATATCTTGTTGTATGCTACAAGCACATCACTAGGTTACCATGCCTGTATATGATGTGCTCTGTTGCATCAGGAGAGACCTAACGCTAATCGTCATGATATGCATATATATATATATATTCATTCCACACATGCAGAAGTATGCATATTTGAGCACACACACATATGTGTACAAATATATATATATATATATATATGCAAGAAACATGAATGAACAAATGAACGAAGGCAGCAAAGCCTGCATGCATATGTGCATTCACGGGTGCCAGCATGTATACATAGATGTACACATGTATTGTATTTCTGTATGCATTTATGTATGTATATGTATTCTCTTGCATGTGTGTATACATGCCTTTGCAGGCTGTATGTCTACGCTGACATGCATATGTATATGTGCATTGCCTATCCATGGACCCATGCCTTTTCTATTGCTACATGTATTATTGCTACATTTACATATCTATGAACAAATCTGCCTGTGTGAGTGTTCTTCTTCACATCTGCAGGTATTTGGATCATACAAGGCTCGGCATCACTATGACCTACGTAAGCTGAGCAGCACTGAACCCTGAACATCCGACAGCGCGTCTCTGCCAACCCCGACAGTCAGCAAGTCTTGCCCATCTGGCCTGTCGAAACTTTTTCTCAACGGAGAGCAGTGAGATCGTCCGGTCCTTCACACAGCAAGACAACTAGACCATACTTCAGAGTCCGTTGAGCCGCCGTGCCGAAGCAAAAGCTTTCACTTCGTGTAAGAACAGTGAGATGTTCACCAGCTAGGCCAAAGTCACCAGTGCTCTTCGGGTGCTTCTGAGCAAGCGAAGTGGTGCACATCTACACCCCGATGCGTCCAAGACTCGCCCAATCTCGCTACACCCGGCGACAAACAGGAACAAACAATCGGATGGCCCGGAGCCTCAACGAATTTGCAGGTTCTGTGGGGCTGTTGCCCGTCATAGGAGCGAAAAGACACGATGCGAGACCGTCAGGAATGGAGTGGGAGGCAAGTGCCCATGAAATCTTACCAATCCCACAACTCCGCAGAACTACAGTTACTTTACCCAGGCACCTCGCCGCCCAACGCCAGAGCTTTGCCCGACGGTGAAAAGCTGGCGGCGTGGCAAGGGTCCTGCGCAAAATAGCGTTCGCGTGAGATGCTGTTGAGTTCAAACTGCAAGGTTTGTGAAACTGTCGGCGCTTTTTTTTAGAGGCGGTTGTCGGGCTCCAGGGCTTTGCCATCCAGCAGACGGCTCTCAAGCCGCAGTCAATTCTACCCAATTTAACCACAATCGCCTTGCTACGCATAATCGAAGAAATCGACTTCTACTTCTTCAGTCAAGAGTGATGCAGAGCATTCCGAAATCAAGCTTCAATCCTTCTGCATGTCGGTACCCTTTCTTACAAACGCCGAATCCTGCCGACTGAAAGGGCTCCTTGTAACTCACGGTGCCAACCTCATCCCAAATTGCAGCGAATTCGCTGGATCCTTTCCAGACCACCGCCTGGCACGCTTCACATCTGGATGGCGGGTTTGTCTACACCATCAGGAACTCAACCCGACAAGGAGCCTAGGCGACTACACTCGTCTTTGACTATCAAGAAGTGCGCACAGTAATTACATCGAAGCCTGGTTCATTGTCATTACCTTCGAGTTGTTTTGCCTGTCTGCATCCCCGTCTTCCAGCAGCTCGCAGTGACATCTAGAAAACCTGAGGTCAAGTGAACCGCGCTTGGACCAGCAACAGCGAAGATTCGATCCCGCCCTATCGCCTGAAGCCCGACCTCCCGAAACCTCGCAAGAAGATCAGCAGACCTTCATTCCTCCTGGGTCTTTTTCTCGGAAGCTGCTGCTGCTGTAGCTAAGAAGGCCCGATTCCGTGATATCAATGCCTGCGCAGGTCAGATGACAATGAGTTGACTTTCTTCGCCGATCTCCGCCGCTACGGGATGCATTCGTTCGGGAAAACGAAATGCGCAGCTTGCAAATGTGGAGGAACTGAGCTGAACGGTGGGTGGCACTGATCTGGCAGCCAAGCCAGCGTGGTGATGGTGACATTGATCTCGCATGCCTAACTTGGTAGGTGATCATACTAGCATGGGCAGCATCATTTTCAAGGATTTACACACTGCTTTTCTACAAAGGCCAGCCCCATGTTACACTCACCGAGGCGTTAACCCTACTCTCAATCCTGTACCAACAATACCAAAAACGGCAACAGACAAAACGGCAACAGACAGACACGCCATCTACCATCCTTCCGAAACCATGATGCACGAACACCCTGGTCCAACGGGATGTGGCAGATGTGCATTTGCACATAGCTGTCCATCTGCGCATCTTTACATCTCTCCGTCTGTCGGTCGGTCTGTCGGTCTGTCTGTTTCGATCTAGTATTGCACCTATCTATCGACTCGCACATACTAATTACTAACATACTAACCTATCTATCGACTCGCACATACGCATACATGAACAGATGCTAAAATGCACACACACACACACACATACGCGGAAACATACGACAACAGGAAAACACAAACAAACAAATCTCCCTCCCTACCTACCTACCTGCCTGTATAACTACATACATGCATACACACATACAGACANNAGATAGACAGACAGACAGAAATATGCATACATACCTACCTATCCGTATATACATATATTGGTATAAACATAAGTACTTACATGGATAGATACAGCCATCCGCACCTACATAGGCATGTGGAATCATGTGTACATTTATACATCGTTACATGCTTCTCTCTCGCTTCTGCATCACAGCCAAAGGAAAGCAGAACACTGCCCCCCCCCCCCCCCCCCCNNCCCCCCCCCCCCCCCAACCCCCCACCCTCCGCGCGCGCGCACGCGCACTGGTCTTGCTGGTCTGTGACTACATTTTGATGAGGCCTGCGGCTCACAACACTTGAACACCCAACCCTTTTAGAAACTCTTCTCATCCCCCAGGCCTTATCATCGCAGACTAAGGCTGTAGCCAGGACTGTGCCCAGTTTCGCAGCGTAATGCTGCTCTGACAACTCGTAGTTGCCCCGGAATGCAGCGCTGTCAGCAAAACTCAAGCGACGAACCCCCGCGAAGACAGCGTAATTACACATGCAGTTCCGGTTGGCACGTGAAGCTGCAGTCGGAGGCCCCCGCTGATACATGACAAGTGTAAAAGCTCTGCGAACACTTTTCTTTTTCCACACAGCCAAGAGGGAAGCAGCAGCCCCCTTTTATCTCGCTCTCTCTCCCTATTGCTGTCTCCCTCTGTGCCAACACCTCGATGGACAACCACATACCTGAGAAGAATTCTAAACGCTCGCATGTTGAACCCGGAGCCATGCCGACCTCCAGCTGCCGCAAGCATGCCGAGTGTGGGCGAGTAGCTCAGGCTGTGCACCTTGAGGCTTTGCTCGGGGCAAGGCTCCACCGGTTCAGAATTGGAAGCTCATTCGGTTGGTCTACAGTGTCACGTGGGCTCTGCTCAAAGGCAAGGCTACAAGTCCGATGATGGAAGCGTTGTGACTACAGTGTCTTTCTTGAGTGCCCATGTAGCGGCGTTCTGATATATGCCATGGAGCCTGAAGCCTTACCAAGGGCCGTGATTGCGAATGGCCTCCTGATATGTGGACTCAAGTGCCCATGCAGGCAACACTTATCGAGCAGTCCGATGCAGTCCGAGTTTGATCTTCTACGCTGTTCAGGACGGACTTCGTAGCTGGAGAGAGATCAGGTTCGGCCCCCAAATCGCCGGGTGCACCTGTCCTCCATGCTGGAGACTTGTGATCTCCTCAACATCTGGGACCTTGGCGCCGTGCAGAGCTTAGCTCTGGATGTTGTTCAATGCTCAACGTTCTGACTTGCTCTCCTTCTGTTCACTGCACTGGCATGGCTGAACCACAGATCACTGCAACAAGTTGAAATATTGGTCACTCGGATCGCTGCGGAGAAGATCTTGACGACGACATGGGATGCGACCTGGTGGCGAAAATACAGTCGAAGCATGCGTATCTCCACGTCGGGTTTTCATTCCTTGCTGCTCTATGGTACTCACTGCTGCCCCAAACTCGCAGGAGCAACTACATGCTACGACGAAGCAAGAGAAGCTCGACTTGGGTCCCGACAGCCAAGAGGCTTGTTGGTGAGCTGATGCCCTTATCGGACGCGCACATGCACACACTGAGAACGTGTTGTCTGCACCGCCGGATGGATGTTGATATAAAAGGCCGTGCTTGCCGTGTGTCGGGTGATGCATGTGGGGTGTTGAAATGTTCGTCGTCGTAGTCCTCGTCCTCGTCGTCATTTCCACTCCTCATTCACCAGCTGGCACGACCGCCCCAAATGCAATCAGGGTGGAGAGAGCAGGTACGTTTGCACAGGCTTTCCGGGGAGGTCTTCGTTGACCACCGCTCCCCGGAGGCCTCGGTGGTCCCCTGCTGAAAATTGCATCGCAATGAACGAATGACCTGGCTTCCTCATGCACATCGGTTGCACAGCAGTTGGAGAGTGACCTTCCTAAGCCCATGAACGAGGACTGTCCACACACGCACACCCGCCCACCCCGCATCCATCCGTCCATCCATCCACCCATCCACCCATACACCCATTTACCATCATCCACGATCATCCACCCTCATCCACCCTCGTCCACCCACATCCACCCGCATCCCCATCCACCTCCAGCCCGCGTCCACCCCTATCATCCATCCACCCCACCCACCCCCATCCACCCCCGTTCATTCTCGTCCCGTCCGCCCCCATCCCCCTGTCTTCCATGTTTCCCTCTACAAACATGGTACCCCCAACACCCTCTCCCAACGCCTACCTCAACTACACAATCAAATAATCAAACATACACAGCTTGGGGCATGTTCATAAACACGGGCCGGGTAAATCATCATGACCGGGAGAAAACAGCTCCCGTACAAACTTGCACGAATCTTGGTACTTGCCCGTGGGCCCCTGTGCGAACATCAGGGTCCAAGGTGCATGCCGCCATTGCCAGTAAGTACTTGAATACTTCGGGGTTGAACTAGGAGCAGTTGGAAACTCGACAGCGCAAGCCAAGCTTCTAGCATTCAGGACGGTGTTTCCGGAAAGAGGAATGGGCTCGGCTCGGGGTCAGGCGCCGAAGGTTCCGGGGGCAGCAGGATCTGAGTCTCGATAGTAGCTCAAAGATTTCATAGAGACGTAGAGACGATGACAAGGCTGAAAGGCTGGGCTTGCTGGTGAGGGAGACACGAGCCACCGGGAGAGATTTTCCTGTCTCAGTGGATCAAAGCAGATCCCCAAGCAGGCACAGCACAACGGCTCCTGCCGGGAGCTTCAACACGAATCGTTCGCGCAGCTGGCGCGATTCCACCGTCTGCTTGCTGCTAAGCAGTTGTAAATCTGAAGTCACCAGGCTTACAAAGACTCCACGCAGGGACCTCCTTGCACCTTCCAGCATATCGCATGCCCGTCAGCCTTGTCACACCCAAACGCTCAGCGAAAAACCTAGCCACAACGGCGGGGTAAATGTCTGGGTAGGGAGGGAATGCTTCGTCGTCGTCATCCTCCTCTCCCTCCTCCTGCTCCACTGGCTCTTCTTCGAATGGAAGCAAGCTTGCAGCCTTGCTCCAGCCAGCAGGACCGAGACTCAGCTCCTCTTCTGCAAGGTACCAAAAACTGGACTCGCCGGGATAGCTCTTGTCCCACGAACTTCCACCAAAGAACTGAGCTTCTAGCTCAAGAGGAATCCCTTTTTGAAAGTCGATCAGGAAGGTCAGCGTCAAGGAGCCGCCGGCAACTTTGATCCAGTCAGGCTCCACCCTTATACACACCTCTCGCAGGTCTCTCGCTTCCACTGCAGAAGACCAAGCCGAGGAGACGTGGCCCAGCCCCTCCTCAAAATTACCGTCATCGTAGTCAATTTCGCTGACAACGGAGTTGTTCAAAGTCACGCCATTAAAGTCAAGCTCCAACCGCCCTGCAGCAGACATCAAGGCTTTGAAGGCCTCTGCCTCCTGACCCGCCTTTGATGGCACAGCAAAGCTCCAAGGGAGGCCCAGGACAATGCAAAGGCATCCAAGCAGAAGCACGAGACGAAATGAGCAGCTGGCTCGTAATCGGGCAGCTGGCTGCCTCCATGTGCACACAAGACGTGCTTTGCACATTGCGTGTACCCTGAAGAGTGACCGGACGACTCTCCAGACCCAGCCGATGAACACATGAGCCTGGCTTCGTTTTCCTCCAGTGTAAGACAGACAGAGGCCTTCCTGGCCAGGCTTGGGGGTTTAAGGACATGGTTCTGGTTAGGGGCCCAGAGTTCTGGCCCAAGGATTGTTTTGAGGGCTGGGGCTTAGAGCTTTTGAAGCAGGTCCAAGTGTTGGCATTCCTCTAGGATTTTGGGCCAAGGAGGAAGTTCGCGCATCAAAGGTGCTCTTGCAAGTGTTCGGAACACCAGCCTTGCTATGGTCAGGTGTCCTGTGAGGCCTCCAGGCTTATAAACTAGACATGGCAACACTTTACACTGTCAAACCGTGATGATCATCGCAGCAGTTGGAAACAGCAGCAACGGTGATAAAAGCCTGAATGACTAGACTTACGATGAGACCAATGGCAACAATATACCAACAACGACAGAACACAGCTGCCAGAGACACCTAACAAATCCTAACCACAACTGCTGACGACTTTGAGAATTCATACTGCCAGCGGTAGGACCCGACATCCGAAGACCTCCGATGACAGCTTGACAGCTGGACGCAACCGCCGAGAGCCGCGCCACGAGGCTGACAAACTGCTCCTGGTGTGCAGCGCAGGTGTGCAGCGCAGGGACCAAAGCGTGGGTCCCTGAGGCACCCGACATCGAAATTGCTCTCTGTCTCGTGCTTTTGGAAGACCGCGACGAGACGAGGTGATTCAAACCGTGATCAACATGCCCAGGAGGGGTTTAGAAGTGTCAGTTCAGGTCACGGTATGTCAGGATTCGGCTTTTGCCCCCTCTCCTTGAGCACTTGTTTCCCCAGGACTTCGAGCGTCCCGGCGTCAAACACCTCGGCTCATGAGCTTCTCTTGTTTCTCAGCTCTAGGACCTAAGACGCTAGTATCTAGAACTCTGCAAGTACGTAGAATACAGCACGAGGCCTCCTTTGGCGGACAGGACAACACGAACACCTTTCAAGCCGACTCCAGAGAGGCAAGCCCCGGCCACAACCTTCCCAGCACACCACGAAAGCTGAAAGCGCCGGCCTGCCTATCCAGGCGTCAATCCCACTACTGACACAGCTCCGTCTGGGCTTCAGAAAGCCTGACAATGGAGTCACCCAGCGAATCGAAGCAACGGTAACAAACGCATGCCCCTTAGCACCCCGCATTCACTTCACGGTCGTTGTCCCCGCAATAAACGTACTTCCCGCACGGCGAGATACCAACCTGTCTTCTAGACTCTTACACTGTGGTTTGCTCAACTTTAGCGCTCCCATTCATTTCCATTCCTGCACAGGTGCTGCGAGCTATGCGAAGGACTCAGCACTTGAGCAGATAAGATTCTGGTTTAGCGCTTCGACTGTGTCACCGAACGATGTCGGAAGGGCTCCCTCAAAATGCACGCGACAACTTCATGAGGCTTTCATTCCCGACTGAACTGAATCTAGGTTCATCCCATCATGCTGTTAGAAGCGGTGGCTTCCACAATAGCACGGAGGCAGTCTTGGACGCCTTAGCCCCTCGTTCTGAAGATCTCTGGAGCAAAGCCTCGGAATCCCTCTTCGCCTTTTCGAGACTACTGTAGTCGGACGTTCCGCTGCCTTGATCGGTAATGCAGGTCAAGAATGCAGCCCTTGAGCCCAACCCAAGGGCCCCAAAGCGCGAGCCGGGACTGCGCAAAGAATTTCGGCTTCCACATGATGCTCGGCTGTTCGTGTCATGCCTCAGCGCTCCGACATTCTGAGCTGGATTGCAGGTCTCAGATTCAAGTGGATACCGGACAGTGGGCGCACTAATCCCTTCCGGCGAACACGAAACGCTCCAGGAATGGAACACCGAAGATGTCTGACTGGCGGAGAAAGACATGGAAACCTTGGCGACGGGTCGTCTGGGAGTCAGGCTTTCGGCGTCCCACATGACCAGGTGCTGGTCATAGCCGCCAGCGACCAGGCGAGTGCTGCAGCTGCCGAAGGCCAGACTGCAGACCTGTAAGGGCAACAACAAACAAAAGAGAATACAAGATCCTCAGTAAAGCACATCCGATCTGCACAAGCTGAACACAAACCCGGTTCTGCATGCGTTGTAGCGTACCCTGCGTATGCACTTAGGACAGTGTCAAGCCGCTGTTGCCGAAGATGCGAGTGTAGAACAGAATTTATGCAAATCTTGCCTGAAGATCCTCAAACGTTACCCTTTGCACGGTCTGCGGATGGATCGGATGGTCCGCTTCTGCAGGGCTGAATCCAAATCTAATTCGATGAACGCTTGTAGCTCCGAGTCTGTCAGATCATTGCCAAGCGCTGGAAAGAAACGTCAGACGATAGACACTGGACCCTTAAAGCCAGCAGCCGGTAGCAGAGTTCTAAAGCAAGACCAGTAGCAGCACTATCCGGATTCCGGATGCTAACATCAGGACAGCACGCCATCACACGACCTCGTCTGCATGCGCCAGCTTGATGGGAACTCCTTCGGGACCTGCTCTGTAGCTGTCTGTCCGTGACGCAAAGGCCTACTAACCTACTACAAGCAGGCCACATACTTGAAGTGTCTCGGTTGCAAGAAGAACACACTGCAAGTTAGGTTCGGTTGACGGATTGAAGCTAGCCAGATGCCTTACAACTCAGGACGGCTCTGGCTCTGGCTCTACAAGAGCAGGACGAAGTATACATTTTGAACTTAAGATCCCAACATTCCGTGCTTTACGAACAAGCGAAACTCCAAAGTGGAGCCAACTTGAAGTGGAGGCTTGGACATGGAGATCTGACCATGAAGACGTGGAGGAAACACAGGCACCACGGCCAGAGGCCATGCAAACAGCGGTGAGCCATGGGTAACATATTCTGGCAATCCCGGGATTCCGGCGGGGAACTGTGCTGACTTTGCACCTCGGGAAGTCGCTGCGGATCTCTTTCTGCCCAGGTTTCTAGCCAAGTCTGGTCTTGCGCACTGCTGGGAGTGAATATGTGTTTTTGTAGGTATGCATATATACACGCACATTATATGTATATGTATGTATATGTGTAGGTATAACTATATTATATGTATGTGTATATATATATATAGATATATACTATGTGTGTGTATGCGTGTGTATGCATGTATGTGTGTATGTGTATATATATATATATGCATACAGATGTAACTAGATATTATGTGTGTGCCCGTTCGTCTGAGCATGCCGTGAGATCGCACGGAGCCGTTTTCAAGCCGGAACATGATTCTGGGCCCCGAAGTGTCCCCTAAAGCCCTCAACCCAAACTCTGAGCGCCAGGTCTCCGACAATAGCGCCACATCCAGCCCCAGGTCACGAGCCAGCAAGGCCCGTTTGCGAAACTGGGCAGCCTCCGCGTCCTGCGAATTGCCGATGAGTCGCTGCCCTGCAATGCCATGCTAACAGAGGCAAAGCCCCTCCCGGATGAACTAACCCATCTCAGCCGCATCCAAGAGCAACAACTGGAGAAGTGGCCTCCTCCTCAGGGGTGTTCCTTCCAGACTGCCCGTCCTGTGGAAGAAACTGAGGCGATGTGGGGCTTTGATTTGGGATTGTGGAGCAAGAGCTCTCGCATCGCTAGCTTGCGATTCCGTGGTGGGTTCAAGCTTTCTGCTTTTGATGACAGCTCATTGCAAGATGTCATGTTGTCGGTGTTGTCAGGTCCGCACACCCGCAACAAAAACAACAGTGGAACTGTAGGTGGCATGACCAACGCCACATCACATTGCACCTCATGCCATGGCCACAGATGCGCGACTGCTGAGACATGCGGCAGGCCAGGCAGCCCAAGCCAACTTTCAAGACATGCAGATCACAGCACTGAGGCTCTGCCAACCTCCTTTGGGCTGGTCCTGGGAGAGATCGGTGACAGAGATGCGTGGCTTCATCACCGCCAGGCCAGGCACAAAGAGTTCGCCTCAGGCTTCCGACTGGGTAAAGGTGATGGAGGCATTTGGCCTTGGGGGCTCTCGTCTCTCGTGTCTTGGTTTCGTAGATGACTTCTGAAGTTTCAGCTTTGAGGCCCGGAGTGAACAGGAGTGAACGAAGGGAACATCGAGCTGAGGTCCGGAGACGAGAAAAGGTCGAAAGATGCCGAAACGAAGCCAATGAACGACAGGCAAGAGAACCGTGCATAGAGCCACAGCGACGGATCGCTCTCGCTGTCAGAAGCCCTGCTTTCGTCCTCTGACATCCGACCACTTCCCTGGCCTGTGTCATGCGCTTCAGGGCCAGCCTCGCCCTGGCGGGATCAACTCACTGCTCCATGGGCATCATGGGACTCAATGCACACCCACACGGCAAAACACGATTCTGCAAACTCTCTAAACTTTCGAATTCCACTTCAGAGAGCGGTGGGAGAACGACTATGATGTTGGTGCTCGAACAATTCCGGCTTTTCCGTGACACTGTTTCGAACTCCTCTCAACACCAGCTTGGGGCACCGTCTCCTCGTCCATACCGGACTCTGTCGTCTGACCTGGTGGGGACGAACATATCATTCTCAGATCTATGGAAGTTATGGAAGCGTCACGCATACGGTTACAAAAGTCTGCTTGACTCAGTGTTACAAGCGGCTTGGGTGCGAGGAACGCTGCCACACATCCGGACATCCGTCGGAAAATAAAACAGGACCAACCGGAGGGGGCATGCAGCCCCCAGCTGAAGCCCACGCTCTTGTTCAGCTTGCCGCAGGATCCCACAGAGTTCAGCTTCCGCACAGTGTGGGCCTCGGCTTCGCATGCTCGAGCCTTGACTGTCGTGCATGGGCTCAGCAAGATCTTGGGGTGCACTGTGTCTTAAAAGCAAAACCTTTTTTCGTCGGAAGCGGAGGTCCCCAAATCTGCGTTTGAAGAGTCGTTTCCAGCCTGAAACATGACCACACCTACCCAGAACTGAAGGCCACCTCCGATGTTCTCCCGTCTCGCTCTCATTCCGGCTCTCCTGGCCCAACCTGGGGCACAGGCTCTCAGCTCCGAGTCATCCGTAGACACCTGCACCGGGCTCTGGGAAGCGTCGATGGCAAAAGAGCTTGTGCCGCTTCGACGTTGATTGAATACTGTGTTCTTGAGGGTCCGAAATTAATTGAGCTTTTTTGGTTCTTGTTGTGATTGTTTTTGTTGTTGTGTTTTTTTTCTTGGTCTGAAGGGACGGGAGGGAAGGGGGGGGCGAGGGGCAGGGGGAGGGGGAGGAGGGGGGGAGGGGGAGAGGGGGGGGGGG